TAATTAAAGAACAAGAAGATTATACTATTGAAAATCAACCAGTATACGAAAAAGAAACCGATAAAGATGACCAAGTCCACGGTGTATTTTTGATCAATTAATTGGACATGACTCATCTAAACGTACACCTGTAGCGAGAGTCCATTACAATGGTGGAAAAACCATCGCCATGTATGTCCTAACTTAACCACTATATTCATAAAGTATTGTAAATGTAAACACATGTACAAAATCAGGTTTAATTTTAAATAAAAGAAAAACACGGTTAATAAGAAGTAAAGTACAAAAACTTATGTTTTTAAATGTCAATTTAGGCGATTCGTGATTTAATAATAACGTGTAATGTAAACGTAGGTACGATTTACTATTTGTATTGTTTAGTTTAGTTTTCAAATTATAATAAAATCTTTTATTAGTTTTCTTCACTTCAATAAATATACACATAAACGATAATAGCCATTATGTTTGTTTATGTAGGTAGTTTCTTACTTGAAACTACTATTAAAAAATCATAGTTACTTGTTTACGAAAATCGGTTTTGCGACGTTAATGACCCACCTCTATTCGTAAATACCTGTGTACCCCTTGATTCCCCCTTGAATCGGTGATTTGACCACGCGACACGCCACGTTGGCAAATAGTTTTGTACGAAGCTTTTTTATTTATATGCAGTTTAATATTTTTATTGGAAATAAGGCATAATGTCACTTTAAAATAAGCTTATTTTGATGTTTAGATTTTTAATTCGAAAATCGTTTTTAAGATACCAAACATTAATAAATTTTATTTATATAAAACGATTTCCGAAGTATAAATCAAAATGATATATTACACTTATTGTAAAGTAAAATTGTGACATATTCCCAATAAAAAACAATAAGCTGCCATTTAAATCCATTTCGCCCAAATTTCATTATCTTGGAGCATTGTTCAAATGCGAAAAAGACAACAGGTCAAATAAAACCAATAAGTTTGGCAACATTGAATTTCCCCTTTTTATTATATCCACTCCATATCCACTCATTTATGTTCGGTGATATAAAAGGCGGACACCTAATATATCTCTCTCTTTTTAAACAGTTGTTTCTCACTCCATCTCATGTAAGGTCCATACCGACCATAAACTTTTACCTATACTGTATATATATATATATATATATATATATATATATATATATATATATATATATATATATATATATATATATATATATGTATCCAGATTTAGCTATACGGCTCACATTCCATTTAAGATTCATCGGGTTCTACGTGAGTATATCAAAAAACATTTCGTACGCATTATGACGTCGAGAGTAAAATAGCTTTGTGTATGATCTTATCAAGATGTTTACTAAGACCCATCTGGTTAATGTTTTTTGGAGGTTATTCGGAATGACTCCAGTAGTAGGCACAATAATATATATCGTCTAGGTACTTTTCATTCTCAATCTCTTAATTTGAATTTTAAGATCTCTATACTTGGCGATTTTTTTGTTCACGCAGCTTATTGTTGTTAGATATGGCCAGATGAATTAATAGTGTTTGTTGATTTGGTTTATTAACTAGAATATGATGCGGCCTATTATGTGCTGTAAGTTGGTCTGTGAACACAGTGTGGTTCAAGTATAGCATGTAGTTGTGGTTTTCACGCATTCCGTCAGGGGCAGGCGGTCGTTTTGGAGAGGTTTCAGTTTGTTCCGATGTGTTTAAACCTAATCCTTATTCCTATATGTATCCAGATTTAGCCGTACCGTTCACACTTACTCTAAAGGGAAACTTCACTCATTCCAGATACCTACGGTATTGAAAGGATTGAGCTCTGGTGGGACTCTTGCTGTGTTATCGAGACCTAAGTGACTTGATACTTCCGATTATATCACAAAAATTTTCTTACACATCTAGATGTTGAGGGCAATACGACTTTCTGCATTGTTTTAGAGAGAGTTCACTAAGACCCAACTCTTTTATGTTTATCTAGAGGCTCTTCAAAATTATTAATTATGTTGTCTATAGTATCTATTAGTATTGTCTGTCTAGTAAGTTTAATAACCGATATGAGATTTGGTCTATTATGTACCTCTGGTTGATCTGTGAGAACAAAACGGTCCCAGTAAAGTTTATAATTGTCATTTTAAAGCATTCTGTTAGGATTATAGTGAAAATAAGGGAGATGGTCGGTCAGGAGAACTCCCAATTTTCTAATTAGTTCTTGGTGAAGAATCTTTACTACTGAGTCATGGCGTTCTTTATAATCAGTTTCGACAAACGCCTGGCCCAGTAAAATGTTGGATGGTTTCTTGGGCTTGACATCCATATCGGCATTTGTCGTTTTGGACCTAAGAGTTTTTAACAATATAAGATAATTTTTAGTTGGAATAACCAGATCTTGAATATGAAGCAGGAAACATTTGTTTTGGAAACATCTTTTCTAATGTCAACTTATAGTTCGACGCTGTGTTCCCAACAAATTCTTGGCTGATCTCATCGAGGCTTGTTACCTGTGTCAGGTTGTTTATGAGCATTTCTTGTTCCCTTAGTATGAGCGAAGTTGTGTCATCTACTACACAAATTGTTCCATGTAAACTAGATGTCTTAACCTGTACCTGAAAATAGGTTCTTAAATTAGCAACTTGGTTATCCAGTTGCTCAGCTATGTCCATAAGTCCTTTTTCCCCTTGATACCGCGGTGATTTTGTTCTCTCTACTGCACTACGTGGAGGGTGTTTTTGCGCCTGTGAGAGAAGGGTTCTTACTTTCCGCTGAAGACCCTCTATATCCGTTTTGACCACTTTATATTACCAAATGAGTACACATGAGCACAAACTTAAAATTAGTTAGGTTTTAATTTGTTTATGGTCAATTTTCAGCACTTGCTATACTCCGAGATATTTTTATATATCATTTTCACTTATTGCCTCGACGTTTTGGCCAAATTGCACATCGAAACCTCCGTGCTGAACCTTTCCTCTAACTGTATTTAGAACACTAAATCTAGTTTAAAGTGCAAATTGATATTATTTGAAAATATTTCCAATGAGTGGTTTCGAGTAGAATCCACTAATTTTAAATCATCCATATACAGTAGATGATTAAACTTTCCGGCAACAGTATTGTGATTTTTTATGCTAAAATCGGAGTACACGTAGTTCAGTAACTAAGACAGTGTGTGTATCGCTAAACAGAACTAAAGTGGACTCTTTGGTTTGGAAAAGACCTCAGCTAACTGAGATTTCTTCTGTTTCATGGAGAATGTTACATTCTCCATTGTCTCCTGATTTGTATTTCTAGATCTCTGTACTTGGCGATCTTTTCGTTGTGTTTAACACGTAAAATGTTGGTGATAGGCCACATCAATAAGTTTTGTTTGATTTGTTTGCCTTAAGTTTATTAACTAGTATGAGATCCGGTCTATTATGTGCCACTAGTTGATCTGTGAGCACAGTGCGGTCGCAGTATAGCTTGTAGTTGTCATTTTTAAGCATTCTGTCAGGGACATATTAATATTAAGGAAGAGGGTCGGTTTGCTGAAGTCCCAGTTTGTTAGATAGTTCGTAGTGGATAATTTTTCCAAGACAGCCACTTGTTGTTCGTAGTAGACAGCCACTGGTCAGATTTTGGATGGTTTCTTAAGCATGGAATCCATATTGGCATTTGTCATTTTAGACTTAAGGATCTTTAAAAATATATTTTAGAGAATTTTTAGTTGGAATAATCTGATCCTGGCTGGCAAGTAGGAAATCTTCAGTCTCGGGAAACATCTTTCCTGATGTCAACCAATAGTTTTACGCTGTATTGCCGACAAATTCTTGGCTGATTTCATTGAGATGTCACCCATGCAGAGGTTTACTCATCCAGGTGCGCATTTTTTCTTGCTTACTCAGGTGGTTATGCGCATTTCTTGTTGTCTTAGTTTAAGCGACGTTGTATCATCTACTGAGCAAATTTCTTGATGTAAACAAGATATCTTAGCCTATACCTAAAAATAAGTTTTTAAATTAGCAACCTTTTTATCCACTTGCTCACATATGTTTAAAATTCCTCTTTTTCCTTGATACCGCGATAATGCTGTTCTCTCTACTGCACTGAGTGGATAGTGTTTCTGCGCCTTTGTTATAAGGGTTCTTACTTTCCGCTGAAGACCCTCTATATCCGATTTGACCACTTTATAATACCAAATGAATAGCTACGGAGAAGGCGTACGTATTTAATGCCTTAAACAAATTGTTACTATTAAGATGACCGATTTAGTTTTTTTACTCTTTGTACGAACTCAGAAATCGGTTCAGTTTTTATTTATTTATGGTAAATTTTTCGCGTTTGCTTTACTTCGAGATATTTGTACATATCATTTTCACCTATTTCACTCGATGTTTTGGCCATCTGACATGACGAAACTTCCGGGCTAAACTTTTCCTATGACTATATTTAGTATACGGCACTTGTTTAGTTCAAAATGAATAAATTATAATAATTATTTCAAGTCACATTTTTAACTTTTTTTTTATACACAAACATACACTATCTCGTGCATATGATGGAAAATCTGTTTTTGTTAGTTCTATTCATAATTATATTTTTTTCTTTTTCTGGTGCCATAGGCTATGCTATTTAGATTATGCGTAAGGATCCTTCTTCTGCTCTGTTTTTATTGTATTGATATCAGGTATATTGCACCGGTTCCTTACATCTCTAAACCATGAGCGTCTTTTGCGATCTGCTCTTCTTAAACTTTCAATTTTACCTATTAAAATAATTTTTAACTGATTATATACACAGGCAATTTCGTTTTTATGTATACAACGAGCAATATCCAATGATAATAACATAAATAACATAACAAAACTATTTCTACCAGAAATCAAATTAATCGAAATTTAAAAAAATCAAAAGTTATGTTAGTGCATATGGATGTCAAAAATTACGTAACTGCTTTGTTAACGTAAAATGTCGTATGAAATAGACTATAATGTCTAAACTACCTAAACTTTTTTTTATTTTAGGCTCTGGAGCGGTAGCAATGGCCCATTTGGATGGATCGGGAACAGACGAAGCTGTATGCACAATGGTTCAGCGAGTCCAGGAACTAGCACTAGGATATCCAGAAGGTCGGATAGAACTTCAGCTTATTGGTGGATTTAATGATCCAAGGCATTATTCTGATGAAATATTCTACAATGTTTTAAGTATGTATAAATTAAAATTTCAACCTCGTTTATAATAAATATACGATGCCGCTAATATTAAACAAATGCAGTTGTATCGAAATGTAAACTATTTGCTCTACTGACACATTGATAGAATCAACCTATTTTATGGGAAACGAAGAATAACTTTGTCATTCATACGTTAAACAATTATTATTACTAAATAAATATGTACCTAGGTAAATAGGTTCCCAAAATTGTAGATTAGAGTATAAAAAACAAAACTCAAAAAAGTCACCATGCGATGCTCGAATGCCGTTGCGGCCTAATGTAAGTCTTGCAGCTGTATACATTATTTTTTAGTACGATCTTATCATAAGTAAAATCTAGACTATATTGGGATCTAGTCAGTATTGGGAATATTAAGCAGTTGATCAACCTCATCTTTATCGCTCTTGAAATTTGACAGTCCTTCCATATTTTGGTCATTTTTGCTGTGGCAACTTTTGCTAGATCACATCTATATTTAATCTCTTCTTGTAATGACCCTGTGTTTGTGATTAATGATTCCAGATATAAGTATGAGCTCACAACCTCGAACCGGTCAATTGTGGTTATGTGTGGATGATTTTTGTGTAGTCTATCCACTATCATGATCTTTGTCTTTGATATGTTTAATTGCAGACCAAATATTTGACTTTCGTTTTCAATTAGTCGTATAAGTTCCATCAGCTTTGTTTGACTATTTGCAAGAAGGGCTGTGTCATGTGCGAAACGTAGGTTGTTTAGTTTATGACCATTTATTGAGATGCCTTTTTCCCATCCTTCAAGTGCTCTTCGCATAATATACTCCCCATATATGATGAATAATTGTGGAGATAGTATACATCCTTGTCTGACACTCCGTTCTGGATGAAACTCGTTCGAAAGTGTGTCAAGTACTTTAACTGATCCAGTAGTGTGTTCATATAGTTCAGTTATAAGCGTAATTAGAAGTTGTGGTACGCCTACTTCTTTTAGTATTCGCCATAAGTGTCGCCACTTGACCCTGTCGAACGCTTTACGTTAATCTATAAAACAGATGTATAGTGGGATGTTGAATTCCCTAGGTTTCTCGATTATCTGTCTTATATTCAGCAGTGTTCTCGAGTGCCTCTACCTTTGGTAAATCCAGTTTGCTCTTGTGGAATTTCTCTTTGAAGGAATGTTTTCAGTCTCTCATTGTTTATATGTATATAGTTAATATATTTAATAGAAATTGAGCTTTTTTATTTTTTATATTTATATTTGCTTGGGTATCTAGCTTTGTTTATGCTTAGTGCTTTATGTTTTAACGATTTCGCAAATTTTGCATATTATTTGCATGTTTTACATATTTTATTCAGTAATATTGTAAATAAATTTGACCTTAATGTTTTTTAATTGTTCTATTTTTTTCAATTTTTCCTGATAGAATATTTAATAAGTATATTTAATAAGTTTTGAGAAACAATAATTAACACTGATTAATGGATGAGACGAAAAAAAAGGTATAGATAAACGACTAATGAAGTGTGGCAGATCGGTAGGGACTTTTAACAAACTATATTGAAGATATTTATTTAAGTAGTTATTGCGATTGAGCTATATAAAAAAGAAAATTTAAAATCACTATTTAATATTCACTAAAACAAAATTGAAAAGTGCATCAAAATTGAACAAAATTGAAAAGAACAAACGTCAAGGCTATTAATAAAATCTCACATTATTTTGCGAATAGGAAGTCGTCGGGACTTTTTGAAATACTCTTAACTATGTGATCAATGACTTTGTTCTCTCTGAAGTCATACTGTCAGGATGATTGTTTACTGCACTTGTGTACAGAATAGTTGCATCTCCAATGGCGAGGTCGGATACAATTTAGAGTGGACTATGTTCTGTGTGTTAGGTCAAATCCAGGTAGCTTATGAATAATGCCGGGCGTTATTGTCTCGCCGTGCATTCCACATACCTGGACGTGGAAATATACGCCGTTCAGATACCTGGAGAGAAAAATACTAGATCAAACTTTGGAGATATAAATTGTAACTTTATAAACGTCATACGTTTATTATTTTTCTTCAAATAATTATTTTTTTCATTTTTTTTTTATTTTATTCATTTGTTAACTTTACTAGCCACATGGGTGAAACTTCTTAAACGTCATGGTACCACACAGGGAGTTTTCGAAGCAAACGGTCAGCTGTAGCTACATCCAAACCATCGTCAGAAGACAACAACTACGTTAACTACATTCCTGATCCAACTGTCCGAAGCCATAAGTATCATTTTTAAATTTTTGTATAGTTCCAGGCAGGATTTGCTTTATTTTTTTATTTAACATTAATATTTAAATTCATTTCTGTATAAAAAATATGATTAGTTAACATCCTGTTTTGTTTGTCCCAGCCATACTCATTCTCCAGATTTTTATTTAAGAAGACGGAGAAAGCCTTAACAATTGTCTCTCAAATAAAGTTGGAGGCTAATTGTTACACATTGGCTTCCGACTTTCAGAGGGCAATCATATTTATACAAAATCTAGCAGAAAAAGAATGGAGCAGATGTTTTATCTAGAAGTTGATGGACATATATGGGTGATCCAAAATAATATATGAAGTTAAGGCGCGGAAAGTTAATTGTCACTATTGTAATTATAGTCACTATATCGAGATCATCTTAGGAGATTCTTAAGTTTAAGGGATGTACATTAATAAAGGTAGATAGAGGTGGGTTATTTTTGATGATATGTGGTAAAACGGATTTTTTAATATTAAGAGAAAGTAACCAGTCTGGGGACCATTTGAATATTGCGTCAAAATCGTATGATCTTTCGAACGATATATCACGTTTCATACATATAATGTGATATAAGAAAAATGTTGGTCATGTCATCTTTTTAATATATATTATGTCAGCTCTGACAGCTAATACTGAGCTTTTATTTACTTCTTTCTCTTGATCTTCTCAATCAAGCATTTAAGCATTAGTTGCAGCGGGATCCAATATATAAAAATATATTTTGATTTGTCATCTTTGGGAACCAGCCATTGCCGTATATTTTCTAAATATTTTAGTATAATGTCAATACCAGTTTGTAAAATTTTAGAATTTTGGAGGATTTAGATTATTTTAGCGGAACGTTCATTTTAATATTTTCATGGATTGAACTCAAAATTACCATTTTTTTTTATATTTCCTAAATTACCATGTATTTTCGTAAAATTTTACTAATTGTGTGTAGTAGGTATACCATTTGAGGTTTTGTAAATTGTGATATTTCTTTTCGTACTGACTTAAATATTCGGACCAGACTCACGATTCTTTTTTAACGATAGGTATAGATGTGAAAAATCTGTTCTTGTTGCATTTCTTCCACTAGAAAGGGTAGAAAGGCATAGCAACAAAATCATTCATCAAATATTTGCACTTCACATTAAGGCAAGCCAAATCCCCATTTTATTCAAACATATATTAGCTGTCTTCAAACCTAAAAAATATTGTGGACGGTATAAGATTTTCTTCACATTTCGAAATAAAGACTGCCTAGAATAGCTTTTTATATAAATATCTATGGAACAAATGTATTGAGCATGCAGGGGATAGAGTATTTAGAAACATAAAATAATATTCGTTAAAATAGCTTTGGTTTTCTTTTAAAAAATGGTTCGTTAATTTTATCCATCATCATATTTTAAACTTTATTGTTATCTAGATAGAAATCAGTTTATCATTTTCTAAACAAGTAATTAAATTTGACAACACGTCTACTGCTTAATTAATCTACACTGATGATGGAAATCAAATTCAAGAGCATGAAATCTAATGAGGGATATTATCAGATTAAATTTCCCACAAACTCTCGTATTTCCTTAAGATAATTATATTACTATAATATAATATATAATATTTGAAAATAATCTTTTTATAAATTAGCGTTTGGGAAAGTCTGAGTTATTCGTTATTAAATTTTATCATTTCATTTATAATCATAAACATTCTAGAAACAGTATGAATAAAGTTTTGAAACTGTTTTCTTGTGGCGTGTCTATATTAAATATTGTGTTTATATGAGAATAAGTCACAATTGATTGTAATGATAATTACATTTTTAACTAAAAAAATTTGACGTTTCGATTTCTACTCCGAAAATCGCTTTTAAAAAAGGTTATATGACAACTCTGTCAACAACTTTGGCGGTTGTACTTTTTTTTTCAACAAGACTTTTAAAAAACCTTTTTTGAGAACGATTTCTCGAAACAAATTTTTCGTAACACCGAAAAAATATCAAATAATAATAGACCACGTAGATTGACTTGATATGCACTTCGCGTGTGCCGCTGGTAAATAATCAAACTTCGTGTGAAAAAACTGACTTTATTAAATTAACAATACATAAATATAACGCTAATAAGTACTGTTTCGCTCGCTGGGTCCACCGGCCTCGACTTCTCGTATTTGAGTGCTGTCGGCTTTGGAGTGCTTTTAGGGGCTCGCCTTATCTTCACATATGGCGTAATATATGTTGCCGGATTGTAAAATGCATAAAATAAACTTGAATTAGACAGAGGCGTGAACACTACATGTTACATCAGGGTTAGTATTGGAGTGTCACGAGTGACTAACTCAGGCTTCAGATGGTAATGCAATCATCGTGAGGTCGGTTAAGGGACATAAAAGGAACTAAGGCAACCGCATTGCTGACCAATTGGCTAGGAAGACGGCAGCCCTAAGACTCTTAGGACCTGGAGATCTTTTTGGTTGGTCAACTACAACAATCGCAGAAATTGTCAAATGTCACTCTCATACGCAAACCGTAAAAAGATGGGAAGAAGGGCAAGGATGTAAACTTGCCAGGGTAACACTAAGTAACCTTGAAGAGTCAGCATCAAAGAAGTACTTGGGAATGACCAGGAAAAACCTACGCTTGACAGTTGGTTTTTTAACTGGTCACTGTCAACTAAGCAAACATCTCCACACACTGGGGCTAGCAGACACATAGCAGACACACATCTGTGTAGAAAGTGTGAACGAGAAGACGAAACTGTAGAACATGTCCTATGTGAATGCCCGGAGTTATCGTTAATACGAGAGTACGCGTTCGGCGAGTCCTGGCCCACACCTGCCCACATAAGAGAGATGTCTCCTGGTGACTTGTCCACCTTCCTAGAAATGGCAGGATGGACAATGAGCTACGGGCGACAGCTCCCTTAGAGGATGCACAATGGTCAATTGTGGCCTAAGTGCTGTGAAACTTAACTCGCCCTCAATACTATACCGATACAGATACAGATGTCAAATAAACACAGTAGATAAGGATAAATAAAGATAAAAATCGATTTAAAATTAAAAAAGGCAATAAAACAATATTTTTTGTTGTATAAAAAGTAACTGGTTCAAAGAAAGCAAACAAGTTTATTAAATATCAAACTATATAGTCAAAATAAATAAAACTAAATTTTTTGTTTAATAACACGTTTACTAAAAAAATGGAATTATTTGATGTTTATTTCCATCGGGGCAATCTGTCACGTTTTATTTGATTTCCTTTTTAGCACACCTTTTTTTTCACAGCATTGCTTATACAAAATAGGTTTAACTGTATAACCCTCCACATATGCCCAGCTTGTCAACCAAGCTTTGCCAATGTTTCTCAGAATTAACATGTTTCTAGGATATTTGTTACCACCCACTTTTTTTTGTTTTTATATCATTTGTCAATACTTTCATTTCTTCTAATGATTTTTCTTTTCTTTTTCTCTATTTATGTACTGATTTTATCATAAATCGTAATAAATTACCAAAATCGCGTAACTTTTACTTATTAAACCGCTTTATTGAACTGACTTTATTTGCTGCACAAAACAAAAATTGCATACGAAAGTGGCACCCTTTACCTTCAACACGCATGTTCATTTTTATAGATAGGAGATAAAATTAATTTTGCTAGCGTAACTGATAATCTAAACTGCCGGTTGCTTTAAGCGTTGGTTCTTAGAGAACGGTCCATTCGACACAAAAAGTACTAACAAACATTTTTGTTCAAAGCTAATTCAACTATATTTACTGTTTAAAATATTTTTTTACACCGTACAAATTTTTAATAAATCAATGTTTTCTGTTTTCCCCATACGAGGGGTGGTTTTAGGGGAAAGTAAGGGGTAGTAGTGGCAAACTTTGTTATATCTTTTTTTGTATCTTAAAATTAAGATTCTCGGCAAATTCAGCTTGTACGTCTCATTTTAGAGATCAAATCTCTGACGACTCGACTTCTTCTTCTTCTTCTTCATGTACCTTTCAGAATATTGGTTACGATCATAGCTTTCTTAATTTTTCTTAATACCAAAGAGATACCTTTAGAAATAATTAAAACGATCGAAAATATCTACCAAAACAACAAAATAAAAATAAAAGTAGAAAAAGAACTAAATGACCCTATTAAAGCTGGCAATGGGATAAGATAGGGAGATTTTCTGAGTCCTCTATTGTTTAACCTGATTATGGATAAAGTAATAAAAAAAGTAAGAACTAAAAAAGGATACTAAATGTGAGAAAAACAACTTAAAATAATCTGCTATGCAGACGATGCGACGTAATAATACTCTCTCAAAGTGAAGATGATTTACAAAGTATGCTACATCAATTTAATATAACCGCCAGAAAATTTAACATGTTAATTTCCCAAAAAAATAGGACAACCTGCATGAATACAACAGCAAGATGTAAATTGGAAGGTCCAAAAATAGAACGAGTGATGGAGTTTAAATTTTTATGCATCACAATTATCTAGGTAAAGAAAGCTCTAAACAGAAGTGGAATATCAAGTGAATAAAGCAAACAGAGCCTGTTTTCTTCTTGTTTTTCACAAACTGCATTTCTGAAAATTCTTTTGGAGCAAACGTTGAAAATCAGGGACGACAAGAGATATTTCAGCCGTACTTCTCTTTTAGTATTAAGAGCCTGTAATACCAGACCGTATACTATAACCAATGTTCTTACATTCCTTTACAAATTTGCAATTATGTGAACGTCTCTGTCATCCAAGCAAATGTCTCTTAGAACTTGTATCAATATAGAGTGCTTAATACAGCAAAATGCCGTTTGAAAGTCAAACAAACAACAGTACATGTCTACAGATATATTACGGCATTTTTGAGCAAGTACGTTCATCCAAAACAATGCCTCTCTCGTTCCAAATCCGGCCATATATTATAGATACGGCCATGTATTATCTTTCGAAAAATTTTCAATAAGTGGCTTAACAAACCGATGGTTCTATAATCGGCACAAGTTTTTGCTGTTGTCTTTTTAGATAGATCGGTGATTAATGAATTGGACCAAAGATTCGGTAGTTGTCCACTGATATAAACGGTATTTAAAAACGAGGTTACAGCTAAATTTTCGTTCAGTTCTCTGAACCATTTCCTTAACCTTCCTGTCTTGGCAGAACTAGATAAGTCAATCTTCACGTTCATTAATGTTTCCCAAGCCATAATATACAATATTTTAACAGCATCCTTGGCCCACTTTTGCGTCAAAATTTCCGAACACTATGGTAATTGTGCTATTTTAACAAGATCTACAGCAACAGTAAGATCTTTGTAAAATGCTTTTAAATTACTGGATGATGTTGGAGCATAGACTTGAATTACATTGGTAATGAACAGCTTTGAATTAAATTTCACTAGGATTACTCTGTCAGATATGGGAATACAATTTACTACTGATTGAGCTAAGTGTTAGCTAGTATGACTGTAACTCCATTATAGTGATTGCATCGTTATTTCCGGTATAGCACACTTGATAATTATCAACATCACGTAAGTACTTCCGATCCCGACCACCGCATTTCACTTATTCCGAGGATTCTGATTTGCCCTCTTCTAATTTCTTTTATAGTATTATGTATTTTACCTACCTCAAATATGTTTCTGACGTTGTGGAAGAAGTGGCTATTTTCCATGTATTTTGCATATTAACGACCTAAGAGGCTCTGAAGTCTTAAGATTGCCCTGTCCTACCGGATCTTGGGTTCCGAGATCCACGATCATTAATGTTTTGACTCAAATTATTTACGGCTATGATAGTAGAAACTAGGAGTAGTAACAGGCCTTTAATGCAGTAGCTATTCTTTCTTTTCTACATATTTATGCCTTTGACTAATTTATAGTTCATTCGCATTCTTTAGGAACCAATTTCTCAATTCCAGGATAAATGGGTACTCTACAACTTACCAACTCATCTGCCCGAAACCCTTGGTCAGTAAGCCTGGCATTGTTGATGATAAACATAACCAAGATCATCACACAGGGTAGGCAAGGTTGACATTTGGATAGGATGCTATCCCTAGCGTGCCTAGTCTGCCACTGAACTACAGATGGGTTTGAAGTGGTATTGATGTTGACTACGGTGTTGGTTTTTATTATTCGCTTAGCCTATTTTTCTTTATATCAATCAGTTTAATTTATTATATATTATTTTTAGACCTTTATACTTAATAATTTTTTTTATTGGGTTAATGCCTCGACAACTATGATCATTGGCATGGTACAGTCAGGTACCTAGTGTAGTGTGTGTGTGTGTGTGTAGAGTAATTGTATTGACACTTAGCAAAGTCGACGTCATTGTCTTTGCTAAGAGACGCTAATTGTATCCGAACGTCTGCGGTCCCTCTGGTGAGTACCGATCGCACAAGGATAAAAATTATTTTCATTTATTAATTTTTAATAAACGAAAATTTCCACCTAGATGAGATTCGAACTCACGACCTTTAGATTTAAAGGTAGGCGCTCTTACCACTGAGCCACAGAGGGGGTTATACTTAATAATTGTAAAGGTTCCTTGTAACTTTAATGCCAGTGTTAATTATGACCGATTTGTTATAAATAATTTTATTTTAAATTACATTTTTTATCGATTCTTACTCACAAAATTTATATCAGCGGTAGATGTTGGCTCTATATTTAACTTTATACAACCAAAATTGTGTTTTTGTATATATGTACTAATAACTACATATTAAGTAAACAAACTGACAATTATCTATAAGATAATTAAGAGATTATTCAGATTTATGTCGTAGTAATTATTAATAATATCCAGGTTTAATTCGCTAACAAAAATGTAGATTACTTTTGTTGCTAAGGAACGTATATCCTTTCTTATAATTGAGAATAATCACTATTGATTATGTAATTAAGATGTGCCTACACCTTAACGTACTCTTTATTGGACAATTCAACGAAGTGTTCACCTATTTACACACACATATAAAATAAAATGAACTCTATTTATTAATTACAGATTCGTTCCACAAACATCCGATAGAAATAGATCTGACCTTAGCATGTACAGGAGAACTGAATACGACTATTAGAGGAGGAATCCATTGGCCCATTATTTACGGAGTTGGAGTTAACACAAAGACTGGTGAAATATTTCCCGCTACTTTTCCAGATAAAGGTCCAGATCATTCGTTAAGATCTGCCAGATATCTTACCGGTGTTCCACAGGTAAAGTATTTTTTTTAAATTTATTCTCAAATTTATTATCTGTTGAATTAAATCTCTCTTTAAACATTAAATAATTCTGTTAAAATAAAAGATGTTTAATTTTGACAGGATTTATTAATGACAAACAACTTGTATGTAGAATCAACAGAATCTGAATTTTATTAGGAAAGTGTTTATTAGTAAGAATGTGTACTGCTTTCATTAAAGGGCATCCTACTTACAATCATTCACATAAGGTATTTATTTACCACATGATTTTTATTGGTAACATATAAATGGGTCCAATCTTTCAAACCTACTTCTAAAGATCTGGTTTTTTGTTCAAATCTTATCAGACTACTTTCTAAAGCACTTAAAAAGTCAAAATTTACTTCACCTTTTTCATCGGTTGGTGATATTTGTTTTGCTTCTACTTTGGAATAATTGACAAGTCTTTAAACCTTTTTATTGTTTTTTATTTTGTAGCGTACAAACTAACCATGACTGCTTTATCTGCTTAAGAGAGTAATAGTTCCAACCGCACTAGGGAGCTCCCACATACCACAAAGTTTACATATCTGATTTAATGAGACGTATGCAATCGATTCTAGTACTTTAAAATTGCTAACAAAGCCGCCGTTTTACACCAGTGACCGACTCACCTAAACTGGATAGCTGGAAAGCGGCATCTCTACTTAGATCGCATTTTCCAGAGCGCTATAAATCTTAAACACTACACGGATTCTGGCCTACATGCAGACCCACCGCGCGCATTCTACGTTCACAGGATAAATCTGCGTGGCGGGCAGGATTTAAAGCCCAGTGAACCAAATAAAACCTCGGCTCCATACCCATTAAGAAATCCGTATCAACGCAAATGGATAACAAGGATTCCCTCTTCCGGCTGATAAAGACCGGGGACCCCCAAGTAGTAACGATCCAATAAGCGACCTTTTGGGTAGAGTAGGCATATAAAGAGTATGATTAGCATTCGAGAGAAAGTCTATCCTCTTCTGACAGAAATAGTGCCCATGTGAGTCCGTCTCCAGTAAGGGCAGCATAGTAGCCGTACTGTGGGACTATACCCTCCCCACAGTACTTGTGTTGGCATATGTACCCCTGCCTGTAATTCTTGTGAGGGCGAACAGGTGCACACAGATAAAATAACGAACCATTAAGTCCGTTTGACAGGTTGCCATCGAGGAGCCTGCTCTACCACTCATCTCCACTACAGACACATTTTACAAGTGTACGTTCCAAGGATTTCAAATAATCCTTGAATGTAATAGTATACCCCAAGGTACTTTACTTTGCTTAACAAATTTATATTTGTACAATTTAGGCTTCAAGGACCTAATGCCCGTAAACTCCCTCTTCTGGCAAATTTCATGATTTTGGACTTTTAAAGCTGCTGCATGCATTCTATGGCTAACTGTGGTGATTAAATTTTCCGTAGCCTAAGATGACCAGGTGATTCGCATATTTCAAAAATTTTTGCCCAGTTTAGTTTATATATAACCATATTTTACAAGAGGGTAAAAAGGCTCCCAATGCGAACAGCCTCTAACTACTGAGTTTGTACAGGTTATCAATATGCACTTTCTTTCGTCTTTTTCTTTTAGAATGTATGTTTTGTGATTTAGTCATAAAAGGTGTTGTCGATTGCTCCTTCTGTAACGAGAAATTCACTCTGCATGAACTCTTAGTTTTTCAGAACTACTTCACCTTATGCACGAGATAGTAAAGTGCCGTATAAAATCCAACTATTTACGCATACTATCACTGATGAATTGTACTTTTAATAAATGCACCATACCTGATATGACTATCGATTAGTTTCTTAGGAAGTTTAGTAAAAAATAACATCAGATTTATCGACATGATAAAGTTTTTGGTTAAGGTATCAAAGCTGTCCGTATGAGAGTCCATAGTTTTGATATGTACCCATCAGTCCTAAGCTAGCCCCTATTATCATACATAACTTTTTATAAAAAAGGTAACTTTCTTTTCTGTATATATGTAGACCCGGTTATTTACACACGTAATCATCATCCAACCTTTTGCGTCCAATATTGAACATAGGCCTTCCCTAATTTTTCTTAAAACTATGTCGGTCTTAAGCTTCCCGCAACCAATTTCCAGCGATTATTTTGACACTGTCTGTTTATCATGTGGGGGGTATACCTTTGCTTATTATTTCTGTTCGTGTTCTACATACTGTAATTTTTGGGTCCACTGCCCGTCATTCTTTACGCCCACGTGGCACGCTCAGTTTCACTTTACATTGTTATGCGCCCTATGACATCTGTAACGCCTGTCCTTCTTATTTCTGCAACAGTTCAGCAGTTTGGCTATCCCTAGCAATTTGTATATCATGAGCCCATGTACTTGTATTTATAAACGAATCCTATTTTGTTGCAGTCGACTTCTGGATTTTCGCATGATACTAGATTTGTTAATTATTCTGTCTTTCAAACATTTATGTTTAAACCAACTTTATTACAGACGGCATCTAACAGCCTAGTTCCAAGCTCTTTTAAGCTATCTGTTATCAGAACACTGTCGTCCGCAAATAGTAGGTAAGAGAGCATTTCGCCGTCAGTATTGATGCTTTTGGCTTACAAATTCTTTAATGTCGTAAAGAATTTGGGAGATAACGTATCTCTTTGTCTCATTTCTATTTTGACTTTTATACCGTTGTATATATTCACGATATATTGTATATATTCACGATGAGTTTGAAATACCGATAATCTATGCGACTTTTCTACAACTCTCTCATTACTATAATCTGACTCTCGTTTCTATAATCTTAATTATGCAGTAGAGGTCGTCGTTGATGCCAAAGTTGTTTCTCAAACGTGCTTGATTCCTAGGTTGGTAAAAATAAAAATTTTGCACATTGTGCCATTTTTTTAAAGCTTAATAATCAATTTTTCAGACCGCTATAATGCGGTTTGTTTCCCACACCTCTTGGATTATGGAGAGCAAAACTTCAGCAATTAGATGCGGATCAGTTTTAAGTATTTCAGCAGCAATGTTATCGATTCCCTGAGACTTCTTATTTCTCAGAGATTTGATAGCTGTTATTATCTTCGTTTTGAAAGGGGCATCATCAGTCTACATTTTACGGGTTTTCGATAATTTCATCTGCGTTTACCCTGGACGTGCCTAGTATCTCCTGAAAGTGTTCTTTCTATCTCTCTACTTGGTCATTTGTTATAGTAAGTAATTCGCCTGTCTTGGATCTTACAATGTTTAAACAGTTGAACCCGTTTTTTGTTAGTCGTCTAGTAGTTTGTTATAGCTCTATAGTTCTCTTGTGTTATGCAGCTGTTGACAGTCCTTCAGCCCACCTTATTTGTCTCTTCTTGCATTTCTTTTAACTGCTTTATTTATTGTTTTATAATTTTCTTGTCGGTTCGCTCTTTCTTCTAGAGTTCTTGCTTGCACAATATCTTTCTTTTGCTGTTTTCTTTTCTTGATAAGATTCCAAGTTTCATCAAAATTATGAATCTTGTAAATTATAATATATATTTTAAAACCGGCATAGTAAAATAGCAATTTTGTAAGGCTGAGTTTAGTTTCTTCCACACCTTTCCTAACACTTCCAGTGTTAATAAAGACATATTTACAAAACATTTTTAATTCAGGTAGCACAATAGATATATGCTGCTTAAAGTCATATTTTTAATTACCCTTTTTCTACCTATTTAGTCAGATAAATATCATTTATTTGTTATTTTATATGTATAAAGTGATTATATTAGTATATATATATATATATATATATATATATATATATATATATATATATATATATATAGGTATATTAACCTTAACATAGTAATACAATATTGTTAACGATGTTTCAGGTGTTAGATATTTACGACTGTGCACTAGGACTTCTAAGAATAGGCCCTTTTAACTATGAACCCTTGCGAGGTGTGGATTTATGGCTAGAACAAAGTGACGATTTTATATTGCAACACTTATCCACATCTCCTGAAGTACAACCACCCCACTTTGTTATGCAGGTTTGTATTTAAGGATGTTTAAATGATTTTTTATATTTTATGCATGTAAAACTATTTCTACTTTGGTCGACAGGTATTTTACAATTATTAACGTTCATAAGTGAAGACTTTCGTGCTCTGGTCGAAACAGACGATATAGTTATGATGGTTAGATGTGATCATTGCCAACCGCATGAGAGGTGCTTTAAACTTGGTAATTTTTCGGTTTTTTAAAGAAAGACTTCCAGTAAATACTAATTAAAACACTTCCTTAAAAAAATACGAAGAGATTAATAATTCCAGCCTCTACCATAGACGGAACAATACCATAATTCTCACAGAATTATCTCGGACGAGAGTTAGTATCTTGGAATTATTCCCAATGGAAAACTTTCGTGGAACAAAAAAATCCAGAGAATAATAGATTGGCAAAAAGTACAAGCTGTTGCGACTGTATTCCCTGCAGCTTTAGATGTAGTACTGGATCTTACTTCCTCCTGCCTATACATGTAAAAAATGTCGCTCTAGAAAGTGCATTTGGCAAACATGGGCCCAGTATACCCGGTCATCTAACTGGACATCTAAGCTACACTGATGACTCTAACGTAGACATCTTATGATTTGCTAACAAAACTGAAAACAGTCACAAAAGCAACTGACAGGGTAGTACAAGGTGACTTTGCAATGGCTGTTAAGGCATAACTATTTTTGCAGGTACCATACGACATCTCTGGAACCAACGCTATTTTTCGGTGTACCAAAAACTCGAATAAGACAGAAATGGATTAAGAAACTTATTGTAACCTATTGGAAAAACGTTTAGATAGATGTGTACATCCACAGAAAAGTGGACAGATCATCATACTGACTCTGCTGAATTCCCGACAATAGTATTTGCAACTTGGCAATTGTGCGTCAATTCCATAATAATTATATTAGACTTTTTAAGAAGCCTAGATCTATTGAACGAAACATATATTTAGGTTGTTGGTAATGTATTTGTTATAATGTGAGTGCGGAATGGTCTTCAAGAGCAATCGATCCCCTTTGACCCATCGGCAATCTGAGAGAAAAGCCTTATGATAATATACTGATGTAGTAAGCATTTCGTCGTTTTGTAAGCGATATCGTAAGTATTTAGCTTATTTTAATATGGAGATATGAGAAATAAATAAGATGCCGCATTGAAATTGCACGGTCAACTTTTAATAGAATGAGAAAACTTTTTTGTAATCGCGACATCAATATATCGCTCCGGATAAGAATGCTTCGATGTTATATTTTCTCTACCCTTTTGTATGGGGTTGAAGCTTGGACACTGTTACCGACCTATTTTGAAAATATCATGAATGGATCGCAGAACAAACGAACAAGTTCTTGAATTACTAGAATAACAATGCAAGTTTTAAATTCCCAAAAAATCAGAATATTAGAATACTTGGGCACACCATGAGAGGTGAAAAGTACGAACTACTAAGGAATATAATGCAGAGTAAAAACAAAAACAGACGAAGCGTACGAAGACAGTTTGGATGCAGTTCAATTGAACTATTCAGGCGCGTAACCAACAAAGTTACAATTGCCAGAATAATTTTCAATCTCGGATAGGAGCGAAACTTGAAGAAGAAGAATATGGAGATAATATAACTTTTATTTTAAGTACTAAACATAACCAAACAATTTAATAATTATTGGTGTCGAAAGTATTTAAACAGTTTTTTTAATTACTGTAATTTAATTTTTACATTTTTATTTAAAACAGTATCAAACGATTATTATAAATTATTGTTTTCTAAAACTGGCACATTTTTACGGCTTTTTAATTCAAATTAAAGCCCCATATAAATTAGGTTTTTGTCTGTAATTCACTGAGATTAAAATTTAATTTAGGTCCAAAATATTACGTTTCACTACCCCTCTCCTAATATTATGGAATAGATATTCGCGGAATTATCAAGTACCTATACCTACTTGTAATACTTAACCATTACGACACTTCAAGCCTAATTAACATTTTATCAATTTCACTGTTACTTAAAAGCTTTTAAATGTGTAAAAACAACTTTTGTTATGTTTTAGATACGAGCAACATTGAAGTATATCCAAGAAAACCAGTTTCCGGCTGTAACCGTCTTTAGAGACAATCGTCCCCATTACTTTAGAAGAGACGAACATTCTGGCATTTGGATTCCACTTAGATATTAGTTAGTTTGGTTTTGTACTAATTTATCGCTTTAGCCGATGATCATTTTAATGGCCAAAGTATAACAACAAATATTAGTGAATATGTTCTGTGACAACGCATGTCACAGAAATTATTGTTTGTTTATATAATTCTGTTATTAAGAAGTAAGAGGTGGGCTGATCTAAAACAATCGTTTGATAGCAACAACAAATATGTATAAAAATAAAAGAATTGATATAACATACACGTTATATAAATTCTTCCAAGTTAGTAACTAAAAATAATCGATTTTCTGTAGTAAATTATCACACAATTTGCCCTCTACTATTTCCAGTTTAACATGGCAACTGAATAAGTTTTAGGATTAAAAAAAACACTACTGCTTGTTGATTATACTGTTTAAAGGAAGCTTTTATAAAATAAGCATTTTTTATGTCAATAATTGTAAAGATATATTATAATTTGTAATATAATTTTTAACTAATAATACATCAATTAGTCTATAGGAGATATATGACATTTTTATTTAAAGTCATTGTTTTATAATTTGTTTTATTTGGGAAGCAAGGAAAGCCTGACGTATTAGTTGTGTTTTTTCTTGTTATACCTTTCCCTTTCTCTCTATTATATCTAGTTGAGTTATTGATTACTCTAGTGATGGACGAGGTACCAGAGCTTAAAAACACCTTAAAAAAGTCAAAAAGACATTTTCAACTTTAGGTTTTAGTGATACGAATATAAGAACTACAAAATTTACTAAGCTAGGGATTTTCTATTGAAGAATGAATATGTCCAAATACTGTTTTATTCATTAAGTTTTTATTAGAACGTTTTTTGAACTGGATATGTTTTGTTGAGACTACAGCTTTTTCAGAAAAATGTTAATTTTAAACTAAGTAGTTTAAAATCAGAGTATGTAAGGTCGAAAATTAAAAGATTATATAAGGTGTCAAATCTATCGACATACTTCTTTATGCTTCATTCTGTATTATGAAAACTTTTGAACGGATTATTAAGTACCGGCTAGAATTTCACCAGGCCTTCTCGTTGGAACAATTTGGTTTTAAAAAAGGGTGTAGTAATATTTTCGAAGTTTATCACTTAACACAAGACATTGAGTTACGTTTCTAAAATAACTATTACTAAGGTGCTGCATTTCTGTATAAACAAGGTTACTACGATGTAACAAATCGTTATATTAAGAGAAAAATTGCTTCATGTAGATGTTCCCGCGAAGTAAAAAAAATTTATGTAAGGTAAAATAACCATCTTTTAATATGTTCTAGATAATCATTGAAAGGTTTACCACAGGGCTTTGTTATATCTCCCCTTTTGTTTAATATTTTTACAAAAGAAATACACGAAGGAAAAAATAGTTGTAATATTACACAGTACGCTGATTTCTCCTGTATAACACAAATATAAAATTAGAAGCACACATAACAGAGCTTACGTCACATATACAGAACTACTTTGAAGTGTAAATCGTTACTTTATCAGATAACTAATTTTTGTGAAAAATTTTATGTTACTTTCTTTGCAATAAATAATATCTACCCAATATTGATAATATAAATGTAAATAATAGATACCTTATATCGAGTATCGAATAAGGTAACTTATCTTAGAATTATTTTTGGCAAAAAGCTTAGTTGGAAACTGATATGTATTGAATCATACAGCTTTATTAAGCTGTTATGCAACATGAAAGAAAGCACATTGTTACTTAACCTAATAGCTGGGCACGCCCGACCTTCTTCAACATCCGTCCTATGTCATGCTTGCAAAATGAGTTCCGGTATTTACTACATTTCTCCCCTTCTATAAAGAAAGTTTGTTGATTATTTTCACAGCTCTCCCATATTCGGTAACCACTGCTAAAGATGTCTGTTCATATTCTAGAAGAGGGAAATATGGCTTCTAGATGTTCTATCAGTTTGACTATGCCTAGGTGAATTACCAATAGCGGTTGCATTATTATGGTTATTCGGCATTGCAGTACTATTTTTCTTCACCTGAAGGTCCATGCCTTACACCAATATTAGGCAGGCGGGCGGGTGCAGTATATGTGTTCTAATCAACATTTAAAGGCACTTTCACTATCACTCACTTCACTTCTAGGTTTTTCTTTAGCTAACTGTATGCTGTCATGCACAAAGTTTATAACATTATTAACATTCTCAAGGTAAGTACAATAACTTAAGACTTTAACTACATTTCCTAAGTCCTATAATGTTTACGAGTATTTTTGACATAGACTTGGTAATTTGTATTATTCAATTTGATATTTTCTAATTGGTTGTTCACAGTTTATAACATTATCATTTTCAGATGATCCCAATAAATCATACCTGGTTCGAGTTTTAATTTTAAACATACACTAAGCTGGAGAAATATCTGTTGTAATACATGAAAATAAATTACGCTCGAATGTTTCCTTCACAGTTTTTACCCCTCTCTCTGCTAGTCTATTTGATTGTGGATGATATGGTGGGGATTTAATTGTGGTATGGTGGGGATTTGATTGATAAGATATGCAGACGCCACAGTAATTCTATTAGATAATATTGAAGGTCTTCAAGTTCTGCTTGATTGGATTCACGAGGAAATGGGCATTAAACTAAACTCAAACAAAACCAAATTTTTAGAGTTTAGTCGTGACCCACATCCCGATGCAAAGCTTCAATTAAACGGAGTCCAAGTTGAGAAAGTTCACAAAATGACATATTTGGGAACTGTGATAACGGACCCAGTCGATCCAGACATAGAAATAAAACGTAGAATAGCAATGACTAAAACTACTTTTATGAAAATGAAGTCATTTCTTTGTAGTAACCATCTCAGCTTAGAACTAAGGAAAAGAATGATTAAGTGCCATTTCTGGTCCATACTTTTGTATAGTGCAGAAGTGCGGACGCTAAAAGTATCGATCATGATCAAAATTAAAGCATTGAAAATGTGGGTTCATAGATGAATGCTGACGATACTCTGGACAGCAAGAAAAACTAATGAAGGAGTACTAAGGACCGTTAACAAAGATAGAGAACTGCTAAAGACTGTTAAATATTGAAAAATGTCTTATCTTGGACATATAGTAAGGGAAAGTCGATATAAAATTTTATAGCTAATCCTTAAAGCCAAAATAGAGTGTCGTAGAGGTGTAGGTAGAAAACAAGTTTTTTGGTTAAAAAAAAAACAAATAAAATGCAGGACAATTATTCCATATTGCAGAATATCAAGAAGCCTTCGCAATGGCGATCGCCAACGTCGGATAATTCTGATATGGTACGCGAAGAAGAAGAAGAAGGGGATTTGATTATACTATTACTATGACAAGAAGAAACCAACTCTGCTAAATTGAAAGGGGGACCATTATCAGAAACTAGTTCTACAGGTAATCCAAAAATTGCGGAAACATATTTTAGTAGTGTAATGACTTCCCTGGCTACTGTATCGTTTTCCATTAACCTGACTTCTATCCACTTAGACCTATTATATACTAAAATAGACAAGGTTAAATTTTGCTTTTGAAAAAAATCAACATTTACCCTGTAGAAAGTATGGAGTCATGGTATACCATTTAACCTATTAGGAAAATTCTGAGTAGACTGACAACTAGTACACTATTGAACAAATGTCTGTATAGTTTCATTTATTCCAGGACACCAGCAATAATATATTGTTTGTGGAACAAATTCAGTACTCCAACCCTAAGTAAGAATGAAATTACCACTTTAGTGCCTAAAACCAAACAACCTTTCAACCGAAAAGTTATGTCTAAGTTTAAAACATGGTTTTAAATCATCACCTTGTACATGGGGTTAAGTCAACTACTTTGGACAATAATTTATTCTATTTGGTTGCTTTTGCTACATCTTTAAAATTAAATACTATTATGGTTTGCTTCCTGACAACTTACTATTTGACAACTTAATAACATCATCCTTTTTGTAATTTTTCCATGATTTGTACACAACGGAACAATAGAATAATTCACCATGTTTAGTTTTTTTACTAACACAACACAAAAATTCTTTGCTACAATAGGTAACTCAAACTAAACTTTAAAAATTAAGTAACCAACTTAAATTAAAATTACTAAGAATAAATGCAAACGAAAGTTATTATATAAAATAAATTAATTAAAAATTAAATAAAATAAAATTGAAAGTTTATACACAAACGGAAGATCTGTCATTACTTTTGACAGAATTGACATTGCGGAATTAAGCTTCGTTTGATTATTTTATTTACAACCCCAGACTGTGTTAAAATAAATGAATGGTTAATGTCTTCGTTAAAGAGATAGGCTGTCATTTCTCTTAATTAACTGCCTGGGATCAAAGTGATGAGGGAATGTTCCAATGTCATTCATATAAATTTCCGTTGCATGGAGTATATAAAAGCCTGATCCGTATAAACCGTTGGAAGAGATAAAAATTCCTATTGGTCATACTATGGTAAAACAATATATAAAATATTATACTATTTCAGCATTGTAATTATGACACAGTTTTTATAAAGTATGGAACGGTATAATATATACTCCATTCGCTTAGCTCGGGTATATTTTGACAGATTCATTGTCAGAAACCTACAACACAACAATTCCTACTTCGCAGTATTAATAGCTCAAGTATATTACTATTGCAGACTTCTTTCTCTGAAAAAAAGACGAATTATTCTAAATAGTGGAAGTGGATACTAAACCCATCAAATTTTGGGTAACTTCATTGGTGTTGATGTCATTATTTCGGAATGTTACTTCCTGTTACTTTTGTGGTTGGATTTTTTATTCGCAACTGAGTCATCTTTTAAGCATCCATTATGTCAACAAAAGATACTTCAAACTTTTTGTCATGTATCGAACTTTCTATATTCCCCTTAACTTCCTTATTATTCTTCTCCTTATTTAATCTACTTTTTTGCTCTTGGTCTAGTGTCTTTTTATCTTTTTCTTGTATAAATAATTCACCTGGAGCAAACTCTTCATCGGTAAAATTTTCAGTATTATATGGAAATATTTCCTGTATTCTTAAAACATTTAATGGTTATGACTGGTGTGGCTACGCGACCGTATGAATTTTTAAATATTTTCAGCTATTTTAAATGTCGTGATACGCTCATGAGAATGACTTCAAAGATAATTGCCACATTTAATGTTATACGCTGAGTATTTTAACTATTTTAACGATGAGTAAAAAGCTACATCCAGCGGTTGGAGTCGATGCGATGTGTGCGGGGGTATGGTTAAAATAATAATTCCTCGTTCTTTACTAAATATATATTTTTAATTTACAGTGGCTACTGTGACTGTCGACTATTAACAAAAATGGAACCTCCCTTGAAGATTTTACAACACTGTAAAAATGCTGGAGTCAGCTATTTGCTCATTTATCCACCCATTATCTGAGTAGCAATAGGCTGCACTAGGTGTCCCATTTTTCTCTAACTCTAATTTCATCCTTTTGCGGGCATAAATAAACAAAGGTGAAATATATGTTCATGA